TGTATACATAACATATTGTACTTACACAGGCCCCACTGATATGGAGTTCCGGTGGTGCATATCAGGGACGCGGTTCTTCCGATTCAGCTTTCCCCATTGACCGTTTCGGCTTCCCCCGTTTCGCGAGCTCATCTATCCCAAAGTCCCATTGATCGCGCGAACGCGCGTCGAAAGAGAAGGGATTTCGTGCGTTTCGTGCTCCGTGCCGATAACGCGCACACGCCTCCCTGCTTTTTACGTAAGGGTTGGCGTTTACCGTGTTTTGCTGACCTGTTTTGCCTGTGTTTCGCAGTTTCGTGCTTTGTGCGCGCTTATTCTCATTAACTAGCCAACTGTGGGCCCAGGTGCGCTCTTTTACCACTATTACCACCACATCGGGGCGGCTGAACCGTACGCACAAGTGCAGTAGCTGACTGACCCCGTTGTCGTTGGATCCGAAACTGTGGCGAGTGTTTTGTGGGAGGTTGCTGGGACGATTGAAAAATAAGGACAGCGAAAATTTATTGGCGATTGCGAGCTTATGGCGCGAAATAACAAACGAGGGTCGGTTTGCCCATCGTTACGTCGAACCCGTTGGTTCTCCAGGGGGATAGCTCGTGCGATGCCAATCGTTGGCACGAGGTCTAATCGAGGCTTGGACTAGTGAATAACGACAAAAGGGCTAATCATTGCGCTGCACATTGCTTATGTATCAAGTCAGTCGGTTGTAGAATCCGTTAAGTGCTGGCGAGTCGTTTACTTTTCAAGGTGTAATAAAATTCGAAGTGAAACTGTTTTTTCTCAAAGTGGAGTTAAAAAAAAAGAAAATAGCAACAAACATATTTCGTTTCATTCTTGAGAAGATATTCATACTTTTACCGATTACATAGCTTTCGCTTAGTCGCGTCAGTCGCGTTCGTTATCCGTGGATGTGTATGTATGTATACATGCATATACAAATACACGTGGGTATATATTATAAATAACGAAGCACCTCCATATTATGGTCCTTGCTTTTCCGAGCCGAATAAAGTACAGAGCGCCCCTCTTTCGCGAGCGTTCCTAATTGAAACGTCTTTCTCCTTGGCACGAAACAAAGTGGAGTTTTCATAACTGAAATGAAAAGCTTTGACAAACGGCCCAGCTAGCCAGGGCTTTGAAAATGTGTCATCGTCATCTGCTCGTTCTTTTGGGTGCGTGTGTGTGCGCGCGCGTGTATTCGCTATCACCGACTACGGGGAGTCCAAAAGGAGGAGAGGTCACGGTTTTCGGGTCATGAATCTGCCGTCAGTGATTCAAGACAAACAATAATCGTGAAAGAGACACACGGAGATGGTGTCGTCCATACGCAGATAATACAAAGGCCAAATTATAACGTGATTTAAAGAATAGCGTCAAGAGGATTTCACGCAATAGTACAAAGCCTCAAAGTCTTGTATACAATCGTTTTATATAATATATAAGTATCCACAAAAGATGGAGCATCAGTACATCAAGACAAACATAAAAAGTCAGATCACAAGAGCTTTGCAGCTCGCCCGCTACATGAAAAAAATTCTATACGTTAGTTAAGGGCGGATTCCGAGTTTTCGTGGCAGTCTTGTAATTAGATTAGATTAGATAAGATCAATTCTTTATTCAAACCTTGTGGTATAACCGCGTATGGTTCTCAAATAATTTACAGATATTTAATAGAATAATAGGATACATAACAATTAATCAACATAATTAATAACAATGGATTAAGAAGACAGTGAAGTTGACAAAAGTAATAGTTCGCAATGTACATATAATTAGAATTGACAAAATAATTAATAAAATTGGTAATAGTAATAATCGTGTAATTTGGAAATAAATAAATTTAACGTAATTGATTAGACTTATTTTAACACTATTGTAAGATTGTATAAATTTGTTTTTATTAAAAATAATTTTAAAATGTTTTTAGAGTCGTAAGATAATGCCTTGTTAAATGGTAAATGACTGCGAATAACAAGGTGTGCATATGCCAGGCAATTCCGATAGTTAAAAATTCAGGTGGATGGGAAGAGCAGCTTGCGTTCGAGTATTAAATGTAAAATTGCGTCAAAACAAAAGGCAAGCTTTTCGTCAACGGGCACACTTCAGGAGGGATAATTACTCGAGCGACCACCATAAAGTCATTCATACGTATATCTTAATAGCCTCGGGTTGTTGCCAACAAGTAATTCAATTTGTCCAAATTTTAATTAAATCGACCGTACAACAATAACGACAACCGAAACAACAACAACAACAATGCATTCATACGTACAGCATGTAGCTAAACGTAGACGGAACATTCGCGTGCGTACGCGTATAAATTTAATGGAGAAATACCTGCTGTGGGAGAGGAAGCTAAGATAGAACGACTGAAGATTGTTTACCCATGGCACAGCAGCTACGTGCACCACTGCTCCGGTGAAAGCTCGTGCGCTTGGTCGTAAAACCGCGTCGACTCAATTACCGGTGGAGCTTTCCCGCATATGTATATACACCCCCGATCTCGCACACGGCGCGTGCGTCTGTATGTATATACACACATTCGTACCAAAAAAGCCGAGAAGACCGGGAAAGGAGAAAGAACGGACTTGGGTTCGAGTTACGAGAGCTAGTGCATGTGTATACGTACATACATGTCCCACCCCCGCTTCTACTTTTTTTTTTTTTTTTTTTCTGTACCTCCTCCCTCCACTGCACCAACTTGCTTCGCTGGAGCCCGATGACGGCTTTTTTACCCGAGCATTTACCCGCACCTGCGAGGCTCAAGCGTCCCGGACTTTCTTTTCTCTTTGAGGCAAAAAGTGTGCAATCTGCACCAGCCACCTTCCCTCCCCCCTCCTTTAGCGCTTCATTGTTTCGAGCTGTTCTCGTTAAAGAGACACCTGCGCTCGACACACACACATACACACAAAAAGTAAAATGACTAAGCTCTGGCCGGCTTTTTTTTCTTTCTATCTTACTTTTTTCTTTTTTTCTCCCCCGCTTTTCCCGTGTTCGTTTTCGATATAAATGTCGTTTGATGTTTGATGGTGCTGTAACCGAGAGCCTAAAAGTACCGAATCGGCTGGTATTAGGTGAATAGGTGAGCTTGCGACCAACCGCAAGTTGTACCAGCTTCCACGAAAAAATGGTATTGTTTTTGTTGATTTCCCCGTTTGAACATGGATTACTCGTGTCGTGGTGATTTATTTTATTCGAATGAGTTTCCCCTACAGCAAATATCGGTCCACGAGGTGTGTTGTCGAATGAAGATCTAGTTTACGGAGTTTGACTTGCGAAGCTTGAGCTATCACCATTTTCCAATATTGTGCAACATAAAAATGCACTCTTGTGGTGTCTGCATTCGATTTTGCGTGCGTAAAACGTTAAATGTTATAAATAAAAAATATTGATGCTCCTGATTGCTTTTCTGGGACCATTCTTTTTTAACGCCTTAGAGGGCTGGCAAGTTCTACGCAACATAGTCTCTGTGAGAATTTATCCACGACCAAGTAAATAATTATATAGTCATTTTTGTTGGTTAAATAAAAAAACATTGCCTGTGAGTTACTTAAATCTTTTGGAACAAAAGGTTTTTTTTATAAAGCTATTCCTTAACATTTGCACAAAAGTATTTTTTACCTCACTAGTTTAATGTATAACTTTTGCTTGAAAATCAGTGTCAAATGATATCTGAATTGCAAATACATAATTACTTGTCACTGAAAAACCATGAAAAAAGTCAGTTAACCCTAGTTATATTTTCAGATGCTTTTTTTGCTTACCCAGAAAAAAAGCTCAAACACCAACAAACGATAAAATCTTTTTTACCTCGTATTAATTACTCGTATTTCAAAAATACATGTACAAAATTTCAAACGTCGTACTGCAGCACCTATTATCTTTTTTGTTGTCTGTAAACATTTATTTTTTCTCCTTTCATTTTTTTGCGGGGTTTAACATTAGTTTTTGTTGCATTTGGGTTAAGTCAGAGAAAATACTTATTTATGGTACTAACAGTACTACCGTAAGCACCGCTCTCTACAACAATTTTAAAAATAATTTTAAAAATAAAACCATAAATTTGTATACATAATGAATAAAAAAAAATCATTCAATTACGCTGTTTTAAAGAACATTTTGAAATCTACAAATTTTTCGACACGCATTTGAACATTTGAAGTAAAAAGCAGTTAGATTGATTTCAAATACTTGCTATACCGATTAATGATAACCAATGAATATTTGTACAATCTATTAGACAATCGACTCATTTGAAAAAGAATGTCAATCTTTATACAATAACTCACCACTTTAAATGAACATGAAAAACATTGTGTTATTTTTTTGGATTTTAATACAAAGTTATGTAAGACATAAACAAGCAATCATGCAAATTTTATGCTATGGGGGACGAAAAGGCACGAGTAATCAAAAACCTTTCCCTTCCTCTGCCACACAGAAGTAAAGAGAGCTACTGAGGTGTGAAAAGAGACAAGCCGTGGGCGATCGAACTAGAGTATATCTATAGCCAATTGGAAGGCAGGTCATTGGTTTTTCCCTAAAGATTTTTCCCTAGAAGACTTTTCTGCGTCATCCCGAGCTAGCGAGTGTGACCGAGGCTCGCATTCATCGATGGTGAAAGGGACCCGAGACGCCGAGCAAAACAGTTAGATGACTCATTAGGGTACAATATTTCAAATGAGATATGTACCTATTATTTAGTGAAATAATCTCGTTTGCCCCTTTTATTTGAGTTTTTTAATCCAGACACGTATTAGGTTACTTCGAAAATAATTTTGTTTCAGGCTGTACACATTTCTTATCTTCATGCGTCCGTATAATGTATATTTTCCTTAGTCGGAACGATACGCCCAAAATAATTAATTACCAATTAGGTACACACTACGTATATATATATATATATAAGTGTCTGCGTACAGCCACGTCCGACCGCGTATAGCAGTGGCCACACTAGAAATAGTCGAATAGACGCACTTGTGGCATTCACACGACGAAAGATGACCGAGCTAGGTAAACGCTTTAACGCTTGCTTTTTACTCAACAACTTCGTTATAAATCTATTGTTATAAGTGCTATATGTGCAGTGTCATCGCATGGTGACTGAGTGCCAGAGGGTGTACTATAAGTGTTACATTTTACAGGCACCCACACACGTACAACATCAGTTCAACTGTATAAAAGAAAAATTTACAAAGTATCAAAAACATTCTCTGGTATAAGTTACAGAGAAGTCGTTGCTGACAATCGTCCGTGTGGACTACTGCCTATCGGAGAACGGGAAGGCCCACCATACCTCGCGCTACGAGGTGTCAAATCGGCCTAGCGACGAAGCTCTGCTGGTGGTGCGTCGTGGTCAGTCCTTTGTCCTTGACGTGGCGGTATCGAGGAACTACGATCCTAAGATCGATGGCATGTCCATGGTCTTTACTCTCGATGGGGTCAAGAAGCCGCGCTGCGGGCACGGGACCCTCGTCATATCACCTGTCTTGCAACCTAACGAGGTGCCCGACGGTGCATGGCAAACTATCGTCCAGTCCTACCAGGGAAACTCGCTCAGGATCACCGTGAGTACTTATCGTTAACTTTTTTACATCGCTATATTTCGTGTTACTGCATACTTAGTTCAATTATGTCGCAATCATTTTTTTTTCCTTTTTTCTCAAGGGTTGACGTAATAAGGCTGCAGAGAGTAGATACAGATTCCATGCATGCCACAAGTGTGACAGATAACTTTTATTTACTTCATACCCTTGTTACATTAATTTTTTTCCTTCACAAGTGTTGCGTTCGATAAGCTGGATACACACTCGATGTGCCGTAGATCTGATTTAGTTGTTCTTAAAATTCTTATCAAGACGACTGCCGTGTATTTAATTAAAATGCATTGTCAACTATGCACTTCAATCACGTACTTGAACATACATGGATTCGCGTGGAGTTTGTTGAAAGTAAAACTTTCATCACGTATCGTTTGATCTTCCAAATGCATGCACATCGCGTTGCTTCACGTTAACCAATAGCGAACAAACTTCTGAGCTTATCGGGAGCTTTTTACGTTTGTGGGGCACATGGTTGAATTTATACAATTTGCTTTCTTTCGTTCTATAATGCATCTGTAAATAATACTTTTTTGTATCACGGGGTAGAAGAAACCAAACTTCTCTATGGCTCTGTCAGAGTACAGCCATGGTATGACGTGCTGCCAAGCTGGCCAGTACGATACTGCCGGCTTTCGTCGAATCTTGCGATTATTTCAAAACAACTTTCTACGCAGACAACACTTCTAACATCACGTTCGTACCGGTCATACGCCCACACGCTCATTATCAGTCGTGTGTATAATATGTATGTGTTAATCCACCAAAAATATCCTATTTTTATCTCCCATTTTTTAATGAAAATTTTTTTTAGGCACACCCTTGAAACTGGGAACAATTTGCTTACAACATTCTGTAATACTGTAGTGATGCATTCATGATTTTTTCCTCGTAGTACATGATATTTACGAGTGAAATAAGCCCCGTTCAAGGGTTTGCCTCGAAAAAAATTTTCACTAAAAAACGGGGATGTTTGGGGGCGCTGTTTTAAAATTGTGCTCTAGGTGAATAAAATTGACATTGTTATTTAGGCAAAAATTACAGGTTGTTCAAGTTTTTTTTTTTAATAATATTTGAAATAAATACAAAATTTTTATTTCACTCGATATCTAATAAAGTCATTGAAATGACCAAAGATGAGGATTATTTGAGCCTGGACAGTGTGCCACTGAGAAAAAGGCTTCTTTAAATGTTGGATTTCCCTATCTCATTATTTTTTGGAGGTTTCAACACATGTATGCACAAAAAATAAATGCTACAACACCGAACTATAATTATTTCTAATCTAAAGGTTACCCCAGCAGCAAATGCTATCGTTGGAATGTGGCGTATAGAGATCAATACGGAAGGACAAGACGCCAAGGATTATGTGAATTTCAAGGTTGACAAGTCGTTTTACATGATATTCAATCCTTGGCACCAAGGTTAGTTGTTTTATGAAAGCAAAATCTATGTTCGTCATCATCGTACATTACACCCGTGTATCTACGACGATTCAGTAACCATGAGAGTACTCTGAAAAATGATACATCATGTCAATAAGTTGCAAAAACAAGAATGACAGAGAAAAACTGGACACAGAGCACTTACAGTTAACATTTAAAAACAGTATTGGGAGCTATAACAATAGTGTTGACGAGATAACATAATCCTACATTTTTCAGAGGACTTGGTATACTTGGAAAACGAGTCGGAGCGCCAGGAATACGTTTTGGAGGAGACGGGCCTGATATGGAGGGGTACTGGCAACCAGATGAGCTCGTACGTCTGGAAGTACTCGCAGTTTGCAACGGACATACTGGACTGTGCTCTCCATTTGGTAACGAATGTTGGAAACGTCCAGATCTCCGCTCGCAACGATCCCATCGTCATCACGCGCGTTTTGTCAGCTGCTGTAAGACTTTGTTTTATATTTCTCTTAATTTATACACTTAACTTTGATTGTATCTATTCTGGATCCTATTTTGGGACAGTGAATCGTGAAGTTTTACTTCAAAATAGAATATGGCACAAATATAATGTCAGTTGCGTTAAATTTTCATCTCGTGCATCGGCAAACTGTTCTGTAAAAAAACAGGTCAACTCGCCAGACGACGAAGGGGTATTGATGGGAAATTGGACGGCAGATTATAGAGGTGGAAAGTCACCAACCTATTGGGTTGGTTCGCAAAAGATCCTCCAGCACTACTACCTGACAAAGACGTCAGTCAAGTATGGCCAATGTTGGGTCTTTGCTGGTGTCCTCACAACAGTTTGCCGAGCTCTGGGCTTACCCTGCCGACCAGTTACGAACTACGAGAGCGGACACGACACGGAAAACAGCCTTACGATGGATTACTTTGTTGACGAAAACGGCAAGATGATGGAAGAACTCAACAGTGATTCAGTATGGTAGGTATTGCGGTAGATAACTTCTCAATGAGAGTTTTGTCTATTGTCCTATTTTTCTACCCATCAGGAACTTCCATGTCTGGAACGAAGTGTGGATGAAGAGACCGGATCTGACGGCTGACTGCCATGGCTGGCAGGTGATCGACGTCACGCCCCAGGAACTGAGCAAAGGCAACTACCGCCTGGGCCCAGCTTCCGTTGCAGCTATCAAGCGGGGTGAGATTCAGCGACCCTACGATAATGCCTTCGTTTTTGCCGAGGTCAATGCCGACAAAGTCTTCTGGAGATACAACGGACCCTCTCAGCCGCTCAAGCTTGTGAGGAAGGATACCGATAGGTGGGTGTTTCTGAAAACCTTATCTTTACGATGGAAATAGGGTTTTATGAATATTGTAATATATCCTGGCACCGTTTAAACTACTCACGTGTAGAAAGAAATTAGTGAAACAACATCTGGCTGATTTCGGTTTTACTTATGGAAAATTAAAAAAAAATCTTTTTTGTATACTATTGTTTGAACATTATTAAAGTCTAAATCAAAGTATTTTGTGGTTTCACAAGTCTATAGTTAATGCCATGTATTGAAATATCAAATTTATATTATTCCGCGAATGCATAAAATAGTTTCATATGAATAAATGACTCTTTTATTTTAATTTTACATATTCTACAGCATTGGACAGAAAATAAGTACGAAAGCAGTCGGCAAATGGGAGCGTGAGGATATAACGGACTCGTACAAGTATCCAGAGAGTAAGTACAAAATATAAATGTTTGACTCATTGTGAACACAGTAGCTCTTTGCGAATCTAATGTTTGCTTCTATCTAAAAAAAAAAAAAAAATAAAAAATGTAGAGTCAGGCAAAGAACGAATGAGCATGTACAAGGCGTTGCAACAGAGCCAGTCACGTTTCAGCCGTTACCATTCCAACGAAGAGTTTAACGACATTATGTTCAGTTTAGAGCTGAAGGACTACATCATGATCGGCCAGTCATTCAGGTGATTGGAAAAAAAGAAAAAAAAAACGTGGTTGAAAATAAAAATAAAAAATCTTTCCACAACAAATTTTGTCTTCCACAGTGTTGTGCTGATCATGAAGAATTACAGCAACACGCAAGCTTATGAGGCATCAGTGAAACTGCGCGTGGAAGTCGGAACATACATAGGTCAGATGGGTGATTTAGTTAAACTGTTGAACAAAGAGTGTTCCATCAGACCTGGTAAGAAGTACAAGGAGCGGTTCGAGGTATCCTGGGAGGACTACGGGCCACGGATACTCGACCAGGGCATCTTCAGAATTTCCTGCCTCGCTACTGTCAAGAACATCAATTACGACTATTTCATACAGGACAATTTTTGCGTCAGGAAACCTGATATTGTTATCAAGGTAATCGATGATCAAACCTTTTCTTCTTTATTATTTAACATCTGTTTCAATAGTAAATTACGTATTTTTAATAACTTTCTCATTCAAGTTGGAGAACGAGCCGCACGCGAATGAGCTGCTCAAGGTAACAGCTCGATTCACGAACCCGCTGCCAATTCCCTTGAGACGGGGCAAGTTCCGTATCGAGGGTCCGGGATTGCGGGAGCAGTTGAAGGTCAAACTCGCCGAAAACGTGGGGGTCGGTTCCGAGGCGGTCTGCCGGTTCTCGATGTACCCCGAGTTCGAGGGTAGAGCCACGATAGCCGTGAAATTTTACTCCAAAGAACTCGACGACGTCGACGGTTTCATCGATTTTGTAGTACAACCCGTGCCACATGTGATGCCAGTGTAGTTTCTATCGAAGATATTTTACTGAATAATCTCCCGATAGTTTATCTGGACAAAGTTGTTTTTTATCTCGAGTAAATTACGATATGTAAAAGCTGAACTAATATAAAAAATATACATACAACTATCTGACAATACTAGTGTTGCAAATACTTTTATCCGACCATGTAATACCTAATCATCCCAACAAGTCCGCCACCCATGCGTATAAATAGTAAGTAAATGCACATGACTTACATTTGACTTACTCATCATTTAGCAGTAAAGTAATAAAAAATTCATAAAAATTTACTGTTGGTGGATTATCGAGCCCTATACAAAAGAATTCTATTTTATCTTATACTTGCTGTGTAATAAGGTCAATGGATTCTATGTTTAAAAAGTTTTTTCTTTTTAATGTGATCCAACACATTTTTTGACGCAGAATTTGGATAAGGTTACACCACAGAAAATATGAACTTTCAAACTTTGTTATAGAACTTTTTTTTTTATCAAGCCGTAGATCTGTTCATTCATTAGTTATAATTATTTTCCTTTTATCTAATGCATTCCGAAATTCTTAGTAAATACGGTGAATAACTAGATTTTCTAATAATTTCATGTCATTTTTTGCAACTATTATACGAAACTAGTTGCAAAAACTCGTAAAATATTTGCAATAGATAAAATTCTAGAAAACAAGTTTAACTTACTCACCAAGCAGTCACGAAATCTACGAATCCTGTGTTACACTTATTGGAATTCATATGAAAGTTGTAAGTCTAGAATTTATTAGGTTAAGGAGAAAACATAATAAAAAAATTTTTTTTGATCAACCCAGTTATGTCAATAATTTTTTTATTGAGACATTACTCTAAGGAATCCTAAGAAAAGATTCAATAGCTTTATCATTATAGTTTATTTGATACAGTTAATAAATGATACAACTAAGTGTGATTTAAGATGTTGGAAAGTAAGTCGAAGAGGCTGGTATATATTTTCAATCTTTTTTAAATAATATTTTGAAGTTGAAAACTGATTTTTCTATAACCTGACAGTAACAATCATTTAATTCATAAACTGATTTCGATAAATATCCTGAATATACTTAAAATACGTGTAAGTTAAATTGAAGGTTTTATTTTTAAACTTTTTTCATGATAATTAAGTATGAATTAATTTTTTGTCCATTTTTTAAGGCCATTTTTATTATTAAAATTTTGACCAAGATTTCGAGTTAAAGTCAACGCCAGACTTGACAAGTCGTATACTCGTCAATACAAAGGCAAGAACTATTTTCGCAAGAATTTTAAGCTGTTTTTAATATTGACTAATCTTGACTCTCATAAAACTCCAAGTTATCTGTAGAGATCTGTTTTTACATTTTGTTTCAAAGTCGTTTTCAATAGTTCGTTTGCCTTTTAATTGTCTCCATGAACAATCCACCTTAATTTTAATTCTCTGTTTTCGTTTTGTACACATTATCTCTTTGTGACTTTTATTGACTTTTGTTACTCATTCTTCGTTATTACTATGTTTTTGAAGCACGCCTTCAAGGTTTTATGATTTTCAAGCCTTTCTAATTTCAGCAACACATGTATAACACCTTTATTATTTCACCACTTAGTTCCTAGTATTTCATATTTGTTTGTCTAATAATATTCGTAAAATATGAATATTAAATGAGAAGTAGCTATTTTTTAGTATATATAGCTTTATTCGATTTTTGTTTGTTGGGTGAGTTCAAGAATCCTGAGAATGATGATTTTCCTGGAAAGGAATATGCTATGATGTCAAATCTTTATGACTCTATTTATTATCATAAAATAATTTGGTCTCTCACTTTAAAATGTTGCCATGTACATAGTAACACTATTCGTAACAACATAGTACAACAAGGAAATTAACGAAAGAGAAGTTAAGAAATAGTGAAATTTCATATCTGACACGACGTCAAGTTCAAGATTTTAAGGTAGCATGAAACATACTTTACAATAAGATAATCAGTTCAACGTCGATCAAAGAACTATAATAATAAGATTTTTCAAGAACGAGACAATTTTTCAAAATTATCGTATCATCTGCTCTTTGGTAGCCCTGTAAAAACACTATCTGACCTCGATATCAATATTTATCACACTAAGTAACGTCACATCCGTACGCTCAGCAATCGAAAATTCTGTTTGGGTGAACGATAAAATCCATCTGTGAGCGGCACTGGTTTTTCCCGCGGCAATAAAAAATTGTGCGGCTACAAGCGTACGACTGTTACAATATACACTATGGGATACGCTGTTCTTAACTTTACGTACTGTTTTTTCCGTATTAACGAATTTCCGTGTGGTACTTGCCTATCACACGCCACAGCAGCTTATAAATAGCAGAAAAGATGTTGAGTCGTCCATTCGACGAAGGATGGCTGATCTGCGTAAGTATCTCCATCACTTATAACATTAAAATATATGGGCACAATATTCTCTTACAGAATTTTAAACATTTATGCACATAATTCTTTTCCAAAAAAGTACACAGTACATGAACGATCGTTTCAAGACACAAACTGTGCGTTACGTTTTTAAAGATTAACCATAGCACGAACTGTTTGATTCAATACATCCATACAGTTTTTAAATTGTTTTGACACTGGTGCGTACTACTTTATTTGTTTTCAAAATTGTAATGCATTGTGATTGCTGGAACAATTTAAAAAATTCTTCGCCAGACATGACAGAAATTTCTAGCACAAATGATACATTTTATTTTAAAACAGAAAATGAGACAAAAACTGTTTGCAATATGTACAGCCCAGTATGATGTTTTAATCTACTCATAAATAAATCTTTAACTGTCATCACATAATTATTATTGATAAGTAAAGTGATGAAAGGTAAACGAATTTATTAATAGCTGTTTATTCAATCTATCAAAAAAAAAAAAAATAAATAAAATAAAATAAAATTTAATGCTTTTTCATCCTTACAGGGGAGAATCATACGCGATCGGTTCTAACGATTGTCCATGTGGACTATTGCGTGGCAGAAAATGCAAAAGCTCACCGTACCTCGCGCTACGAGGTGTCAAATCGGCCTAGCGGCGAAGCTCTGCTGGTGGTGCGTCGTGGTCAGTCCTTCGTCCTTGACTTGACGCTGTCGCGCAATTACGATCCTGCGATTGATAACATTTCCATGGTCTTTACCTATAATGGTGCCAAGAAGTCGTGGCATAGGAGCTTTGATGTCACCTCGAATGAATTGCATTCAAATGCGACGTCTAAAGGCATCTGGCAGACTATTGTGGAGTCCTACGAAGGAAACTTGCTCAAGATCAAGGTTGGTACTAAACGTGTGTCGTAACGAAAAAATTGTCTTTGGTTTTGCCTGATAAATCCAATTTTTATTATATTTTTATCATTTAAATGCGAACAAAAAGAAGTTAGTAACAGTTTTTATTTAATTCAGTTTCTTATGTTACCCTTCCACTTCTCACATATTTTTTCAAGATAAAAATATACCGAACTGGCCAGACTAAGTTAAAGTATTTTTGGATCTCGGAGATATATACTTTTGAAAAATGAGCATTTTAATTTTGTTTTCCTATTTGGAAGATTTAAATTATATTGATGCTAGCAAATACAAGTATAAAGGGTGTAACAAAGTATATATAATCCTTAGGTTACTCCAGCAGCAGATGCCATTATAGGAAAATGGCTAACAGAAATTGATACGAAAACGCAAGGCTTCGAGCGTGCAGACAGTTTTAATGTCAAGAATCCGTTTTACGTGATATTTAATCCATGGTGCCAAGGTGAGTTGTATGATAAAAATAAAATTACGTATTATTAATACAAACAATACTTCTATACTCTTACCTACTCACAGATATGTGCAAATTCTAATACATAAAATACATTCAAGTTGTCTCGTAGTTGATTATTCTGATCTATTATACGTGTAGTTAAACTCGTTAGCTGAATCATAATGAATCATATTATTCCTTGATGTAAAGTTTCCCTCAAAAGACTGAGTTATCTATTCTAGTAGAGATGCTATTTTGACAGTACAGGGATCGCATCAAGCGCATACAATATGTTCCATTATCCATATGATAATTAGTGACTTAACTGACTACTTGAACTGGTGGCGAGATGACTTATCCTGATGAATAAGTCCAAGAAAAAAATCTTGGTATTTTTTTTTTTTATGTAAACCCACTGTTCGCTGGAGTTTCTTCATCTGTAAAATTAGCATGCTAACTACTGAGACGGGAAAGGTTTTTAATTAAAAATTTATTTGAGCAAAACATTTAAAATAAATATGCTATTTGTTTCGCTTGAATTTAATTATATTAAATAATTAAGTCCCTCCTATGGTGTAAAAACAATTTAGGTCTTTGTGGCTGAAAGGTGTAATCTAATATGTGTATTCAAAAACCCTAAAGGTGCCTACATATTGGGCCAATGAATTATATTTAAAAAACATAAATAACAGAAGTACGAAAAAACGTCTAAAATGAAAATTTTTATTATGGTATCCCAGTGTTGGTATTATGTAGCGATAATCCATACCTAACACTGAAATTCTTACGGGAAGAGATGGTTGAATGCATAGTCAAAGTAGAAAATTACAATAAACAGCAGTAATGGGGACGGAAAAATCTTTTTTTTCAGAGGACTTGGTATACTTGGAAAACGAGTCGGAGCGCCAGGAATACGTTATGGAGGAGACGGGCCTGATATGGCAGAACAACGTAAATCACATGACATCGGTCCCCTGGAGTTACGCGCAGTTTGGGGAGGACATACTGGACTGTACCCTTTACTTAATAACAAACGTCAAACAGGTCCGGATCGCCAATCGCAATAATCCTATCGCCATCACGCGCAACTTGTCAGCTGCGGTGGGTTTCTATTTTCCTATACATTCCTGTTACGCCTACATGTTGTCTGACCGAATATGTTACTAAAATAGATAAACAAGCAGAACGACAATGGCGTGTTATGGGGAAATTGGTCAGAACGTAAAGAAGCTTACAGTGACGGTAAGTTTCCGTCCCATTGGGTGGGCTCGCAAAAGATCCTCCAGCAGTACTACCAGACAAAGACGCCTGTCAAGTACGGCCAATGTTGGGTTTTTGCTGGTGTCCTCACAACAGTTTGCCGAGCCCTGGGCTTACCCTGCCGACCAGTTACGAACTACGAGAGCGGACATGACAGTGAGAATAATTCCACAATTGATGTGTACCTTGATCAGAATGGCATGAGAATAAAAAACATGAGCGATTCTTGGTGGTGAGTATCACAGAGGATAAATTTTCAATAAGTATTTTATTTTCTTTTTTCTCTGCTTTCTAGGAACTTTCACGTCTGGAACGAAGTGTGGATGAAGAGACCGGATCTATCCGATGTCTACAATGGCTGGCAGGTGATTGATGCCACGCCCCAAGAAGCACCATTTTACCTTGGTCCTACTTCTGTGGTAGCCGTAAAACAAGCAGATTTAAATTGTCACTACGACACTGGCTTTGTTTATGCTGAGGTCAACGCTGATAAACTGATATGGAAATACGACAAATCGTCTCAGACATCTACTCTTCTTTACAACGAAATTAGTAGGTAGGTGTTTTCAATAACAGTACTCATATAGTGGAAAATATTTGCTGCATGACTTTTTTTGGTGTATTTAAACGACAAACACTCATCAATAGGTTGTGTTCCGAAAGTGAAGTTCGCTAAGTAAATGGTGACACTGGAATGAGTGAAATGTTCAAATCAAATAATTAACCGGTACAAAACTGTATTTACAGGTCATTTTAGACAGATATCAATAAATATTTAAAATTCGAAAGTACCACTCCTTGTGATGTTGCCATTAAATTGGCAAGCTTGACTTTTGAAACGTAAACACTCCATGAAGTGGGTGTATGTTTCGGTTTTATAAACTTGAATTTACTTTATTTTGTTTTCTGTTCATATTTTTACCCACACTCAGCATTGGACAGAATATCAGTACGAAAGCGGTTGGCAAATGGGAACGCGAGGATATAACACACACGTACAAGTATCCAGAGAGTAAGTATGGATATTAAATGTTGAACCCACCGTTAAAATATCACTTAATCCTCGGCATATATTCCAAAGGTTCTAACAAAAAAGAGATCTCATTTTTTAATTTAAATCGACCGAAATTCAAGAAATCATACTTCTAGCTAAAAGAATTGGAATTACAAATTATTTACTGAAGAAAACAATACTGCTTTATGAAATCGATACCGATGCTTCAATTCCAATTTGATTTGTACATTACCAAAAATAATTGCAACATATAAGTAACAAAAATTTTGAAGCATTCGATCAGATATAAATTTTTATAAGATTTTGAATCACCTCAAACAGATATTTTATTATTTATAAAATAGGTACTTGCCTTCATAAAGAAACAAATCGTATTAGAAATTTTGTCTGAGTACAACCAATGTTACTACTTTTTTATAAAATGTAACAAGTTTGGAGACTCTTTTTTGGGACACTCGAAAATTTTAGTGTATCGTCGATTTTGAGTTTTACCTGTTTATGATAAGGCCATTAATATGCAAACCAATGCAACTTACAAATGCCTCTTTTTTCTAAAAATGCAGAGTCTAGCGAAGAGCGATTGATCATGTACAAAGCGCTCCTTAAGAGCCAGTCACGTAGCCGCCACTACCTCATCGACGGGTTCCATGAGGTGAAGTTCAATTTAGAGCTAAAACATGACATCATGATTGGCCAGCCCTTCAGGTGATCATTAGACTGAAAAATAACTTGAAAAAAAAAAAAAAATAGTACGATTTGTAAACTGAATGTTTTCCTCGCAGTGTCGCGCTGAAGATGCAAAACGTAAGCAACGTGCGATGGCACACGGTGTCGGTGATACTGCGCGTGGACGCAAAGACGTACACAGGCCGGATGGGCGAACCGGTCGCGCGATTAGACACCGAGCGCTTAATAAAACCTGGCCAAACGGACGAGGTGTTTCTTGAGGTATCCTGGGAGAAGTACCAGCCACGACTGATCAGCCAAGGCTGTTTCAATATCTCTTACTTCGCCACGGTCAAGGAAACCAGTTTAGAGTACACCAACCAAGTTGATTTTTGCGTCAAAAAGCCCGAAATTGTTATTGAGGTAAACAATAACTATACATTTTTTTAACTAATCCTATTTTAATCTGTTCCAACATTTTTTTTTTTTTTTTTTTAAAGTTAAGCAACCAACCGTACGTAGATGAGTGGCTTGCGGTGACAGCACGTTTTACGAATCCCCTGCCGATAGCCCTGAAAGGCGGCAAGTTCATTTTTACGGGTCCAGGTCTACAGATACAGCACAAACTTACCCATGATGTCGATGCCGGTGCCGAAGCTGTCGCCCAGTTCCAGGTACTGCCAATGTTTGCAGGCATGACCACGATGATTGCAAAATTTAATTCCAAGGAACTCAATGACGTCAACGGTTACTTCAACTTTGTGGTACAGCCCAAGCTGTGAGGGGATTGCGTGGAAGTAATATCATTGATGGTTCTTAGTTAGATTACCTCGTAATGGTTTAGTTTGAGGTATTTAAGGTAATGTTTATACCAGTAAACTTTACTGTTAAACACACAACGTATTGTCAAATAAATACTTCTTTTTCTGAAGCTACTCATTAATACTATTCACCTGACCATACCTGGACAAAATATTCTTCCCATAGGAATAAGCTATGTATAGAATACCAGCTTACTTACAATATGGCTATGAATATTCATCCACTTAGTATCTTATATGCCAATGTTTGCAGGCATGACCACGATGATTGCAAAATTTAATTCTAAGGAACTCAATGACGTCAACGGTTACTTCAACTTTGTAATACAATAGTTCCATTCATTTTAATGTTTTCAAAGGAACAGTAATGATGTAATAATAAATAAAATTTAATGTTAAACACATCTATTTTTAAATAAATATTCCTTTTCCTCAAATTTTATTGTTTGCAAAAGCTGTCACCTGACCATCCCTGGATATAATGCTCTTTTCTTATCTATAAGCTAATTATAGTATATCGGTTCACTTCAAGTGTGGGCTATAAAAATTTTTATGTCTGACTCAGGAGAAAACTAAATAATACAATTGTTGCAGAAATTATGCGATGGTTAGCTCGATAATTTTTATTTAGAATGAACTTACAAGTGTTGTATCTACGATTTCGGATATACTTCAATGGTTTGTGTACACGAAACTTACCTGAAACAGAAAAAAAATATATTGTTACATTTTTATACTGAATTAGTTTTTGGTTAATTTTTTTAAATTTTAGCATAGAAAATAGGACATGTATGTTCAAGTTTCATTTTTAATGTCAAGTGCATCACTCTCAAATTTTCACACTTACTTATGTAAATTCATCTAAAAAGATTCGTTTTGGTTACAAAGACAACCAAAGCTTTTTATAAGCTCTGGTCTGACAAGGAACGTTGCGCATAATTTTGTTAACGAAAGAGGAGGGATGCACGAAATCTCTCGGCGAAAAAAAATTTTATCCCTCTAATTGCATAATGCGAAATTCGTGTAGATCAAAAGAGATAAAAATTCTTTGCTATGCGTGGGTGAAAATCGCGTGCACAGCTATTTATATGGCAACGTATATAAATGTGTGTAGGCAACAAAATCAGGCTAATTAAATTATTTACGGGCACATTCACTGTTTACAACGATTCCCTTTTGAAAAAAAATACGTCACTCTATAATCCTCATTCAACGAAACCCTTTTCATCCGCAATATTTTATAAAATAGGACCTCCAAAAAGGAAAGAAAAAATATATATATATATATATATTATCTATTCAGTTTTCTATTCAACATACATGTTTTGAGATGAAAAAAAAAACATTTTTTTCAAAATGTCAATTAATCCTGACGTCAGTTGCAGGGTGGCAAACAAAAAAGAACCAGAGCGCTCGTTTGGTTTAATTCAAGCGGGTCATGAAAATCCTGTACAGCGAGCGTCGATAAACAAGCCCCCCAAAACTAGTTAGCTGCGCGTATAGGGGCACTCAAAAACGAATAATACATCACTGCTGTTTACGGCAATGTTTGCCGCTTCCATCCCCTCCGTTACGCGTAAATATACATTTGTGCACTTTAGCCTAGCATCCCTCTCCTCGCACGGTGGGGTGACCCAAAGTAAGTACTTGCGTCTCTTCGGCAGCAGCAGCAGCTTCGCGTGCATTGGGTCAAGTCCCCCATGGAAACACCTACACGCGGGGGCCCCTGTACCTTTTATATACGCACACGTGGGCACACGCATCACCCTAGTGCTGTCGCATCAAATCTTAACTGCGGGGAAAACACGGTTAGGGCCGCGACACGTACACGCGACGACCATTCCTTATTTTGGTGCAACCGTGGATTAACCATTCAGCAGAGCAGAGTATGGTCTCCAGCGCCGCTTCGGGGACTAATTCGGCGGAAATTTCACGAGCGACGGGCGTAATTAAAGGGCCCTCTCCTCCTTTTCGCTTTTCCACCGGGAGAAATTGTTCCCCTTTGAGGGAGCGCAGCTCCGGGGGCGGAAAAGTTGTCTCCGCGAAAATTACGCTCACCCACGCGCCTTGCAGACACGGGCTTTTTAATTTTCTTTTTTTTTTTTTTGGTTGAGGATCGCGCGCCTCCGCTTTTTAATTACTCCGAATTTTTTTACTGCTCAGCGATGAATAAACGGTCCTCTTTTCTCCGCTCGTTCGGGAAACTCGTTAAATTTTCATACAACCGGGCGTCGGGAGAGGGAGGATTTTCCATCAACAACGGCATCTCACGATTTTTCAATTTATTTTCCGCTCTGCCGGCGTTTCATTCGAGTTACAATACACGGGAACAATGGCACTTTATACACAGTCACCGATCAAAGGGCAACGCGTCAGTTTACAGGGCGACGTATCCCCCCTCGTACGCTTGAAGTAATAGACCCTGCTGCCGGATGCACACTTTGCTCACGGATGCAATTATCGTGACACCCCGTGAAAAATCCACGGCGGAAATTCTCATCTCGCCCGGTAATACAGTATATGCTTCCCGGAAGAGATAAGACGGGGAGAAAGAAAGGGCCACGATCGAGTGCCGATAATAAGAATAGGGGGGGAGGGACAAAAGAAAAGGCCGCAAGGGGCACTTTAAATCGATGGATTTTCCACGATGAAAATAATAATAAATAATCATAGCGATGCGGCAGCCGTGATTCAAATTCCCGGTTGCAGCGGGGGAAAAAGAGGCATCGACTATACATAGAACCGATCCGATGATGATAATGAGGAGGAGGAGGAGGTCGAGCACGTCTTGTTTGCGAAAACGACGACATTGCAAGCTCGTCTTATCTGCGGTGCCCTCTTTGTCACTCGATAGCCACCCCCTTGCTCTCGTCTTCGTCTCGGCTTCTCATCCCTTAAAACACGGCTCTCGCGCATTTCCGATGACGCGCTGTATCTTGCTCGTTTTGCCCCGGCTCTTGTACATGGTGTACGTACACACGGCGCGCTGAGGCAGCAGATTTTAATTCGCTCGAGGCTGATTCGATTGCCCTCGTCGCGTCCATATTCGCTGACTTTTTTTTTTGGGGGGGGGGGCACCAGTGCGGCTACCTGGGTCTCGGGGTGGGAGTTTCATAGAGAACAGCAGTGACGTCCCAAGGCATGCCCTTGTCGAATACGTAAGTGGATTTCGTAAGCCGAGACATGACGCCCGAGTCCCCGCGGCGCACTTCAGCGTCACGGTATGACTGTTCAGTGTGTGTATAAACGTATCAAGTGTACATTAACTTATTCTCACAAGTTAGTCTTACTCGCGGTGTACCCGCCGCGCTACGTGTGCCAACGTCATTCATGTTTAGCGCGCCTCTGGGAGACCTACCCCTAACACTCGAAACTTCAACTCTGGTGTGTGTATACACGTACACATCCAAGAGGGCGGATATATCATAATTGCGTTGTATTAATTTGCCAAGAGCCATCCAACCGCACGAGGCTGGATCATACATCGAGGTTGTGTATACGTGTCGTGTACAACCGATAATCAGCAGCATCGGTATTTCCAAGTGAAATTCGCGATTTTTATCCATCCAATAGCAATACCACCCCCCCCTTCCTCGTCAGCGTAAACAGGATATACTGTAGCAAAAGGAAAGAACGAGGCGCCACGTGGCATAATTCACGGCACTTGTGCTCGCGGGCGTCTACCCGTGAAATCTACATTCGCAGTGGGGGCCGCACGCGTAGAACGTATTTACTGTTCCCGCATCTGCTCGCGAGGCGCGTATGAATAGAGAAGCAGATGAGGCGCCGCATAATTAATCTCTCCCCGGTTGGCTCGACCTCCACCCTCTGCCCCGAGTACGTACAATGTCATCGCCTTATATAGCCGAGGGGGGGTGGGGGGGAGGTATTGTATTTCCTGACAAGATTTTTGACAGTGACATCGTCCCAGAATTCGTTTTTGTCCCGAGGGGTGTGTATCCATGTGATTTCGAAAAGTTGATTTTCGAGCCTCTCCGTTTGTTAAACATCAGCAAAACAACAACAAACACCAAAAGTGGTTTCGCTTGTTACCGCCGGGAGCCAAATACATTAACCATTGACCCACAATTGTCCTCCCCATCCAATAATTCTCTGCTCTCTTTTCGACGTGGAAAAAGGTTAATGCGCCACTACTATTTTTTGCACTCGGGAAAGTTCCAATCAATCATTACACCGGACGTGAAATCAATTAACCAATAATACGTAAAACCGCTAAGACTGCCCCTTCCCCCCATATTTCCAACTTGGGGAGAAAACTCATCGAGTCTGAAAAAGCGTATGTACAACCAATGGCCTTCGACGCTATTTTCCAACGAACCTGAAGAAGAAAAAAAATCATCACCTATGTACACCGGCACAACGACACGTACGGGAAGCAACAAGAAATCAGAGCAACAGCATCGTTCTCCCTTTGTCTCATCCCCGGCATTGGTTTACTGGAATCTCTCGTCGAACGACTCGATACACTCGAGTTGCCCCAAGTCGCGTTTGCTGTTCCCACCTCGCCTCCGGCACTTCCTTCCTCTTACACTGTTGTTCTCATCCCAACCCCTCCCCCCCAACCCCCATTCAGTGTAGCTTCCACATCGGCAAGGCACCGCACGAGGATGTCTATATATACACGCAAACATGGAAACGCTTTGAGGACGCACGTGTGCGTGTGTGTGTCTCCCTTCGTGTCGTTCGAGTGAAAAAGAGACGGCGCATGGGGAAGAAAAACACATAACCCTTACCATATCAGCTGTGGCTTGGGCACTCATCAGCTTTGAATCATACAACACAGTACCTTCCTTGGCTTCCTAACTAAAAAAAAATTGTTTGACTCAATCATTACAAGACAGCATGTCAGTAATACTATTGACGCAAGCCATGCAAGTCATGCCTATAATACCTACTGGTTACCCAGGCATTGGTACCCGAACTGTCCCCAGCAGCCTGATTATATTGTAGACAAAGAGCTGAGGTCCGAGGGTGGTCAAAATCTAAACCAGCCGTAACTCTCA